TGACAGCAGTCTCAGGTCCTGTTCTCCTAACAAGGTCCTTGGTAATGAGTTAAGAGTTCCTGCCTTGAAGTGCAGTCCCTGATAATGAGCGCAACGTCCTTGATTTAAGGGTCTTGTTATCACTTTCATGCCAGATGTGGTCATGCACTGGTACAAATTACACACTACTCCGTACCATTGTAATGGGCTTGTGTTTCTAAGATCAACTCTCTAGTTCCCTTATGATCACCATCATTACTTAACACAGATGCTGACACACCCAGGTTGGCCCTGCCGTGGCGGGAGAGCGAGCGAGGGTGGACGTGGGTGCCGTGGGGAGGCTTTAGGGGCCTTTAGGGCCTGCCCTTGCAGACAAGCACACAGGTGAGCCGAGGGCTTTGAAATCGGCCGGAGTCCGCGTCGGCAGGCTCGACGGGTGTGTAATGCCCCTGCTGAGAACCACGAGGAAAGCGGCGCTTCCCCCCACTTAGGGCTCCACGGGATTAAGAGGAGCGAAAAGTAAGAAAACCTTATTTTTATCTGATGGTTTTGATGACACTACTGAGTTCACGCAGGGGCCAGCGAAGTATTTTTAAGTGGTGGCATTCCTCAGAACACATTTCTAGCTCCAAAGGTCCCCCAGCGATGCCATGTTCCCTCTGCCCCCTAAAAAGGGGTATGCGCCTTCACGCTTCCTATTTTTAAAGGCCACCGCCAATTAGCTTTTTAAACTCTAGTGTCAATACTCAACAAAGGGCGATGTTTTTTTGCCTTCAGATGACTTCGTGAAAGAATGCTGCCCTGGTACAGGAGTCAGTTCTGGAGACCGGGATTATATTATATGAGAAAAAAAATATTTTGGGCAGCCTAAATATGTAGCTATCTGTTCACCCCTGGTTAATGAGGCACACAAAGTTAGCAAACACACAAGTGTGTGCCACCATAATACCCTTTTCAGCTGCATCAATGTTTATCTCAAGTTTCATTGGTTCCAGATATATATTTTTTTTAGTGCTGGTTTCGGGTTCACTGTGACTATGCTAAAGGCAAAAAACTGTATAGTGTCACTATAGTAAGATGCTGACCTTGAACTGCTGTTGGTATTTAATATTTGCTGTAATATTTTATTTAATTTGTGATTCCTATTCCCTGCATGGCTTTAAAAATAGCTAGATTTGCATTTGCCTTTGCTAGCATCTATTTAAAACCTCACTTATGTTACTATTAATATCTAGCTTTACACGCCACCACCACACAAGTCCAAATCCACCCCTGTTCCTATGAAGAATCCTTTGTTTTCTTTTGGTCGTTAAAAGGCTGCAGATCCGTTACTGATAGAAGACCATTTGCTTGCTTGCTTTAAAAGCAAAAAGGCATCTAACAAATTCACATAATATTCAGATGTGCTTTTTCTTAGAATGAATAAATTGCTTACGCATTTTGATTTATAAATCTGGTTTTGTCATATTGCACTTTCCAAAGTGGCAGCATTGCTAATCCAGACCCCTATGTCCTCAAACATCGATACAGGGTAATGCAATGTTTTCTGAAGTCTGCTAAATGGTGACAAAGCAGAATGAAGGCCTGAGCAGTTGCAAATATTGAGAAAGAGCTGTCCGACTGAATTTCATTATTTTGATAGAGCCATAACACCACTTCATGGTGGTGTTAGGGCAAAGGTTGGACCCGATGATCCCAGAGGTCTCTTCCAACCGAATCGATTCTGTGATTCTGTCACTTTTCAAGATGCTTATTCAAATGGTGAGCTTCCCCAAGCAACAGAACAAACTCAACACCTCAAAGTATTTTGTACAAACAGCACTGCAGGTCAGGAGGCACAGTATGGAGAGAAGAAAAAAATACTTAGTGGAGGCTGAGGTGTGGACACAGAGATCACTCTCCGTGGGCCAGGTCTGATTGCAGCACCCTTGAGGTGAGGCTTAGGATGCAAGTGACACGCACAACTCACCTTTAGCCAGTGGCTTGGCTGGGCACGTTCCTCCTCCTGTCCCCCGTGGCAGAAACGGGGGTGTCTTATTCACCAAAACCGTGGGATCTGGGGCACACAGTCACCAGCTGAAGGGCAAAGATGGGCTTGGGCACTTTGGTGGACAAAGCTGAAAGTTTGAGTTGAAAACCGAGATCTTCATACTGTCGCTTCTGCAGAGAAGACAAAAACATTTTGTTGACCTCAGAAGATGTGAGGAAATCTCATTAGTTTTATTAGGTTGTATAAAGATATGAGCCTTATAGTTTGGACTCTGGAAAATGTGCAGCAGCAGTAACACTTTGACCCCAGTACATATGCCAGCATGGCGTGAAGCATGCATTAGCGGCTGATCTGGCACCCTCTGCGTGTAATGGACTTTGGTGGGCACAACACTTCTTTCATTGCTGTAATTTGACTTCAAGGAAGTCACTGCTGATCTACTCTGGCCGTAATTGAGGTGAGGCTCAGACCTCCTGTTTTTAAGATATTTGAAGAATATACCAAGTATGCATTGTGGGTATGTATATAGGTGTATATATGTATATGCACGTGGAAATGTATGTACACTATTTCTCTACATGATGGTTACATCCTTAGTTCTGTAACTGGCACTACTACAGTGGTGTCCAAAGAGATACGCTGATTTACCTCAGCGGAGGATCTGGCCTCTGATATTCTAGTGTCTAAGACAGACCCTTTTTTTTAAATAACCTTATTTCAAGGAAGAAATAAATTTCCTGTGTCCCAAGAGTGTAAGACGAGGACAATTGCTCTTCTCCAGATTTCAGACCAACATCAACTTCTGCTCACAAGTGAAGTGTGAAGGTTGCATTTCCAAAGCGGGATCTGTACCTCTGGTCTCTCTGTCTCTAGCCAGAGTTGGTTTTGCACACAGGTAGTGTCCTTATTTTTTTTCAAAAAGGCACAGAAAGCCTGGCAAGCTCCTTGTTTACCAAAAGCAGCAAAAGGATCAACTGGAGTCCTCTGCCTCAGCCCCTTGAATTCAGGACGATGTCACAGCCTGTGCTGGGGAAGCAAAAATAACCACAAAGTGGGGAGAAGCGGTAGCAGTCCCCAGGGTTCCCTGCTAATCTCCTCCCTCCCACCTGCACACACACACAACACACAAAGAGCTCCCGGGGGGACTTCCACAAGGTACAGAGAGCCATCACAGATCCAGGGAGGCTTCGTATGCAGGGGTAGAGGGTGCCCGCTCGCAGGCTGTGACACCCAGGGTGTGCCAAGGAAGGTGGGGGGGTGACCTACTGTCCCACTGTCACCTGAGGGACAAGGAGGTCCTTTGGCGTGTCCTGTGGCCATCAGGCTTAGTGCGAGATGGCCTGGGATTTACCCTCAGAGGAAACGGGGAAGCGCATGGGTTAGTCAGCCGGGGGGTTTATCAGGGGAGGCGGTAAAGTGAGCGTGAGAAAAGGGGAAAATAGAGGTGAAAAGGAGGGCTCGGTTTGCCCTGCTCCCAGACCCAGCCAAGCAGGTACTCTTCACCGAGGTGGGACAGAAAGGCTGGTTTATCTCATCTTTTCAGTCTCTAAGCTCTGCCACTGCAATGATGTAAGATGGGGGCTGGGGCTGCTGAAAGAAAGAGAATTTATTTGGTATGGTACAATATAGCAGGAACTGACATCACATCTGAGTCTCCGTAAAGTAGCATCACTTTTTGGGATGGCACTGATAAATCCCATGTACTTCTGCTTCCAGGAAGACCCTTAAAAAGCATTTGTCTCTGGGGTTGCTCTCAGAGTTGATACAAGACGGTGGTCAGGATCTGGCCCCTGGCAGCAACAGATCTGATCGCCCTTTTGTTCAGACAGGAGGAGTGGCAGGATCTCCTGGTCCTGCCAGGACTGGAGGTGGGCTCCCCCGCTTAGAAATGTGGCTGTGTGGGCTCAATATTCAAAAATGAAAGCTGAAGTGACCGATAAAATGGGGTAGAAACCACCAACTACCTTAGTTCTTAATAATTAACTGGAAGTCCTTTGATGAACTTAGTACCTGAGTGTGGAATTTGGAATCTGACCTTTACTACATTCAGATAAACTGTGTGGCCGACCCGGCGTCTCTCTCTGCAAGCACCTCTCCACTCTCAGCAGCTTGCTTCTTGGAGGCTCTCACACTTCATGCTGCAGTCAGGAGCTCGGGGAATCCAGCATGATTCTTCTTACCGTGCTGTTCCTTTGCATCATTTCCACCTACTCGGCCTCTGTTAAAGGTAGGTCTGTACCGGTCTCGGTTCACCTTTTGGCTCAGCGAAGGCATAACCAGTGTGTGTATGCAGATCTGTTTTGCACCAAAAATTATCATCTTTACTCCTCCGTCCTTGAGTAATACAAAATGCATTTAGTAATTACTACAAAGATTTAAGCACTTGCGGCATTCATGTCAGCAGAGGGGATGGAGGAGATGACGTTTTCAGGTGCACGGGGCCAGCGGTGTGAGCCAGGAGACTGGGGATCTTGACCTTGCTCAGTCAGGACATGCTGTGGGGCCATCGACTTGAAAGGGACTACTCACACCTCAGAAGTTGAACACACAGAAATGCTCTGGTGGAGCAGAGCCAGGGAGTGCTCAGGGCTCTCCAGGTTTCAGCTTCTGAGCAGTTGACTCAGCTACAACTGAAGTCAGGAGCAAGCATCCCATTAATTTCATAGGGAGCTTGCTCTGCAGTAAGTCATGAAAACCTGGATGTCTGCACAAGCCCTGGGAGCAGGGTTTTACTCAGGTGTCCTGACAAAGGTCAAGGGTATGAAATCTGGAGACTGCTCGCTTCAGCAGTGCCAGTGTATGAAGCAAGGAAAGGTGTCCTTAGTAATGGCCCTTTGTGTACAAACTGACATTAAATTTAGAGGAGCAGCGACCTTAAAACATGAGCTGACACCTAGTTTTTAATTTAATGAGGATGTCCTCATTGTGATGAGGAGTTTGGGGCATGCCATCCTAGGTTAAAACTGTTAAAAAGGCCGTAGAGGTGCTCTCACGGGTGCCTCCTCCTGCTCCCTGCAGGGGATCCAGGACACTGTACCTGTGTCAGCACAGAGCAGCAAGCCTTCCTCCCTACCTCCGTACCCCCTTACGACAGGAGTTATAAAGCAGAGAAGTTTGCAGGCAGTTCCTCTACCCGTGAGTGTACTTTACGAGACTACCAAGTAACGTTTATGCCTAGACACTGATGTGCCACATTCCTGGTGTCTGCTTTTCCCTTCTCCATAATACCAACTAAGCAAAGCTCCTTCTTGATGTGAAGTAATATTTGCTTGTCACTTTACATCCCCAGGGTACTGAGCAAGCATTTTCTTATTAATTAGTCCTCCCTTCAGCTCTGCCAGGTCTCATCGCTCTCTTGTGCAGAGAGATTGAGAGCTAAATTACTGGCCCAAAGGCCACTGAGTGCCTCAGTGACAGAGCTAGGATTAGGATGAGTGTTTTACCTTCCTACCAGGCCATGCTGCCTTCTGGAAATATTGAAGGAATATCCTTTTCTTTTAATTCAGCTAGATCAGCACACATGAAACTTTCCTACTGCAGTTCTACTTGAAAAACATTTTCAAAGAAGCGGATGGGTTTTGCTTTTTAAAGCTATCTGGTGTCAGAAACAGTGGCAAATATAATTTATGAAGGTAGAGCCAGCAAGTAGTTAGAGACGCACATGCTGTGCATGCCATATGTATTAATAAAAGGCACAGGACTTGACAGCTGTCTCTACTCATGCAGTGTAACCTTCTGTATTATACAGTATCATGATTTAATTATAGACTTGGCATGTTACCCTTAATGACAGACACTTAACATTACTAGTCAAACTATGTGTTATGCACTCCACCTTGAACGCAGGCACTTCTGACCCCAAGAGAGCATCGCCGATTGCAGTCTTTATGTCCATCTCTCCTCCCTTCTCAGTCAGTGGGACATTTGCCATCCGCCGAAATGGCGACGGCTATACAGGCGGCAAGGATCCCAATGCTGTGCTGAATACAAAGGAAAGAACTTCTGAAGGCAGGGGATTTTTTTAAGAAAAGTTTCTATCAGAAGGGTGTAGGAATATTCCTATTTAAATAGTACTGGTGTTTTCTTCATGAAAGATGGCATGAAAATTTAGTTATGCTGTTTTGAATACTGGTTCTGGGCAGTGACACTGTGTCTCTGTCCCTCAGCCACCAATATCCCCCTTGTCTCTCAAACTGCCCACACTGTCCAGTTGTCTCTCTTGGCTTCCCCATTTCCACTGGGGTAAGCGCTAACTCCTTGGGACTGCCTTCAATACCGCCTCATCCCTGCTGCTGCTCTGACCGTGATCCACCCCTGGCTCACCCTTTTCCATGAGTGACACCAATCTTGCAACTAAAGGCGTCTTCTGCCCTGGCTTCTGCAGTGTTTTCCATATATGAAATGGTGAAAGCGTTCAGAACCTAATATTCTTCTAGCTCCCAGAAATACTTGGCAATTATTCATCTCTTCCAGGACAATTGCAAGAAGCTGCTGCATCATTTGCTCATGTGTTTCCTTCAGGAGGGAACAGCTAGCTCTTTTATACGTAGGGACAAGCAAATGCTAAAAGGGAGGAAGAGGGAAGGAACTCTTGCAAAAGGAAAAAAAAGATCTATGGGTTGAGCTGTGGGAAAAGGAAGATAATAGATGAAAAGTGCTTTTAACTGAAAAGAGAGAGGGAGCAAAACCACAAACATCCACCTTAACTAATAAGACACGACTTTCGGCACCCAGATCATTTTTCTTGGATGTGGTTTTCCGCCCACCTTTTATCGTTAGATGGGACTGTGTCACCCTCTGCATTTAGAAAGCACCTCGTGGGTAACACTTGTAAAATCTCAGCCGATACTAAATCATTAGCATTGCCGTTTCTGCTGCAAATGAAGGACATTTTGAGCCAGGAAGCCACCAGCTCCGAGGCACTGCGAGGAACCAGGGGTGTCCCTGAAAGGCGCAGCCATCTCTGGTCACCCTCTGCTCTCAAGGGCGATGGAGCTTCAAAGCTGATAGGAATGAGGGGAATTGGGGAAGCGGCTAGGAAAATCACAGTAAACCTGGAGGAAGGGTTGCATACCTCTTGGTGACTTTGTTTTGAAGCAGACACACATGACATGCAAAACCAGAAGAGCCTCGTCATGCCAACATTAGTGCTTCAGCCTCCCCGCAAGAAACCCAATAGTTACAGCTTTGAGCTCTGACACACAAGCAGGCTGCTTGCCCTGGGATTATTACCAAACTTGCTGCGCCACATCTCCAGCTGGCGTAAAGCATAAGGCACACAGTTCTGTGTAGCTTTGCCAATTTACGCAACTTGCAGACCAAACTTGGTGGGGTCACCGTTTTCCTCAGGGAAAAGTTCTTTGAAGCTGACCGTAATCTACTGCTATGACATCTGAGTGAACAGGGGAAGGAAGCGAGCAAAAGCTTAAAAAAGGGGGGGGTTTGGACTCTTTGAGCACTGCAGAATATATCCATCCAGCTGTGATGGAACTACACTGTGCACCTACCTAGCTGGGATTTAAAATCTGAGAGTGAAACAAGAAAAGACTTTGGTTTTCCTTTTTGCCAATTCAGTGATTTGAAATTTATTTAGCAGAGTCAAATAAAACACTGAGGAACATGATATAAATCGAAATAGCCTGTTGATTCTCTGCAAGGGACTTCGAACACACTGATTACATTACAGCATGCTTAAGAATTTGTCTCAGATGTTTTGATAGATTTTTCTTCTTTTTTTTTTTTTTTTTTTTTCCCCCTCCTTTTTTTTTTTTTTTTTCCCCCTGCACTTGTCATAAGACTGAGATGCATCTCCCTAAGGACAGCACTTTGCTTTTCTTAGATTAACTCTGTTGTGAAGTTGTCATTTCTGCTCTGTACCTCCCTGAACTCCATGAAGAAATTCCCAATGGATTCCGTGGTGCAGCATTCGGGTCCAAGAGGCTAGTGCCGTGCTGCTTACCGATAGCACCTAAGGTCACTGTACGTGTATTTGCTTTGCAGATTTTAAGAGCACTTTGTGTACAGGCAGCTTCTCCTCCCTTCCCTTCCCTATACTGACTTCATCATTTTTCTTGTGTGGAGGAGACCTTTGTAGCCATCCGCACCAGAGGACGAAAACCCTTGAAAGCAGTGAAAAGGGACGTTATGTATACCCTTCGTGACAAAATATTTAAAGGGTATTCAAGAAGAAATTGATTGTCCTTAGCCACAGATTTTAGGTGCACAGTCTCAATTCCTGTGCCTGAGGCTGGGTAGAGAGTTGTGACGCTGGTGCCACACATTACCCACGTGGCTGTGCATGAGAGATAACAAAGAGAAGACAGCAAAGGGTGTGGTAATAAGTAGTTTTATAAAGGAAAAATAAAAGTAATTTGTATACTACAGATTTCATTTACACTAACAAGAGTGCAACTGAATCCCTAGGGAACAGTCTATCTGAGTTGTTAATGCAGCTGGAAATGGCACCATAAACTGGGTATGCAAGTTGTATTTATGCTAGAATTTGGCTTTTATATCCCTTAAAATACATCAAATAACAGCAGAGGCACAGCTATGGGGACAATTATTTAGTTTAAAGAACATAGTCTTAACTCTTTAGTCCAAAAAATATTTTCCCAATGTCTTCATTACATTCATGTCACCCCCGGGCAAGACTCTCAATGGAAAGATTCCCAATAAAGGTGCAAGAGATGCAGAGAACAATTTCTGTTGGCTCCAACAAATTTCGTCAGTGCATTTCAAATTGCTAAGCACATAAATCGCATGATTAATTACATTATTTTGAGTTGCAAATCATTTTGGATTAATTTCTAATGCTAACATATCCAAAGTAAAGAATATGACTCTCATTTATTTAAGTGTAGAGCTAGAACAAAGGATTTTGTGGACATTCTTATTTTAAATATATGAGATTAGTGTCAACTTAATCACAAAAAAACCCCAGCTGTTCCAGTGGGACAGCCTCTGTAATCAAGGGTAGCAGGATCAGTCCCATAAATCTTTTGTTGGTAATTAAATTTTTAATTTTTCTAAAGGTGTTTTTTAGAGAAAACGACAGATTATGTGAGTTAGTCAATTCTAAAACACTCTTTGTTTTTGCTTTCCAAACAGGGCACACTACTGGACCAAGCTTAAATAATGACAAGCTATATAAATTTGCTTACTCAGCTGAAGTGTATGTTGATCGGGTGAAAGCATCATTGCAGGAAAGTGCAGGATACCGGATTTCTTCTGGTGTGGATGTCAACCTCTTATGGAGAAATCCTGACAATGATGATGACCAGTTGATCAAAATTACGGTAATAAATGCCATCAGACAACTTAAAACATGCCCAGTCTTTTCTGCATTTATCTAACTGCTAATCTAATCTTGAAGAACTCATTTTCAGAAGATGAGCTAAATCTTTTATTCTTCTCTAGTCTCATCAACTAAATCCAGCTTCTTCGATAAGCTGATTCCTATAGAAAAAGACTTCACAAGAATATATCTAACATCATAAGCCAGAACTTCAGAATATATCTTATTTTTTTTAATTGCTTTATACAGCTTCTATAGCTTCAAATGACTGGTGTGCAAGCACCTACCTGAGGGGCAACAGGTTGTCTGAAGTCCTCGGTTCTATCTGCAAGTCATGACATTTGCTAAATTCATCTGGGTTTGGTACTTAGCTTTACGGAGAGTTTTTCTGCCCTTTAATTCCCCAGTGGTGCGTGCTGGTTTCTTTTGAAAACATAGACATAGTAATCATGGAAGATTAATGATCAAAACCAGAAAGGAAGAAATAAAAAAGATGCATTAGGTGATTTAGTCTATCCAGCCTACCCCAGGCCAATGCTAGACTGCTCTCTACACAAATTTTCTCTGCTTTTACTTTGCTAGATAAGAGATGTTCAAGTTGAAAATGTGAATGAACGTCCAGCTGCTAAAAACATCTTCAAAGGAAAAAGCACAGAGAAGATCATCGGGAAGGAATATCTGGAAGCTTTACAGAGGCCCATAGTTCTTGAGCTAGTCCGTGGAAAAGTAAGACCTTGTCTTTTAAAATTCAGCCCCTGAAGAAACCCAAGACAAATCTTTTCTTACAGGCTTGGAGAATTTACTAATTCACTATCCTCTCGGTGTTCTTAGTATGCCATCATGTCCTGTCTCTCTACATGAAATACAATCGTTCAGAACAGACTGTAATTTACCTGTACAAGGGGCCCTTCCAGCCCAAGCCTCTTGTGTGTCGAGAACACCGTACAGTATGGAAATAAAGAGCAGACTGGCCACAAATATAGGGGAACACACGTAGATATATGGACAAGTGCTGTGTGAGATTTGTGCTGTTGACTTCAGTGAGGCCGGGATTTTATCCACGGTCTGAAGGCAGAAAAGGAGATACAGTTTATCATGAGGGAGGTTATATCCACTCTGTGAGGAACAGTGTTAATCACTTTAAACCCTTATCAAATATTTTAGCATGGCTGCTTTTCCCACCTCTCTGGCTTGCTTATTTACTGCAGCATCACCTGCAGTTTCAACAGTTAATGAGCTTAATGCTGAAAGAGCTACAGCCTTTCACGTTGTTCCTCTACTGGGAAACTGTCTGCAAAAATCAGAAGAGAAGGGACAGTCGGCAGGTGTGTCTGAGTGTGTGCCTGCGTTTTATAGCCTGCCCTGAGACGGCACCAAAGCACTGTCCCGCCGCAGAAGCACCCATGTCCGATTGTACCTCTCAAGAGTCCCAGTTTTGCTCAGAAGGGGATTCAAATAAATCCACCTCCCTCTCTTTTTCCCCACGGAGCTGCTCACTTATCCCCTTGCCCTCACCCTACTGCTCCGACCAGGGAGCGGGAAGGTTTAAGCCATGGCTGCTCCTGCCTCCTCTCCCCACTCCTTCACCTTCTCGCTGCTTATGGCGTTAGTCCGACAGCCCCGCTCTCCCCTCCGAAGCCCGAGCGATGCTCGGCAGGTGGGACGTGGGCAGAGGGGCAGCGAGAAGGGAGGAAGGCTGAAGGTCACAGTCCCTTTTCTCTTCTGCAGAGCGAAGCGAGGGCTGTGACACCCTATCCCGGCACGATCTTTACCTCCCGCTGTAAATAGGCACTGAGCACATACCCCGGCCGCCAGCTCAGCCTGCTGCATTGCAGCTGCTATCAGGCCTGCTCAGTAACTTTCAGACTCAGCCTTGTCATCACTTTTACACAACATAAAAAGAAACAGGACAGTGCTGGCTCCCAACTGTACACATCCCTAAATGAGAACTGAGGTGTCAGAACACGGTCAAAATACATCTGCCCCTAATACATTAAGCAGTTCACACGCTAAGATTGAGATGTAGTATTACAACTTTGGCTTTTTCCCAGGTAACAGGGTCTGTACGCTCCTTTTATGATTTCTCTGTGATGTGATACTTTCAGCCCTGGCACAGTGATTTCACTTTCCAGGGTTGCCCTGAGATAACACGCTGATTGTACCTACAGTTCCTGAAAAAAAGCGCACGTTTAAAGCACCTTGAATGCAAAGTGGAGGTGCAAAGTTTTGTTACCAGAGGAGAGGCTCAAGCACAACAGTTGACCCATGAAGTGCAAAGGTTGTGATGTGTTTGACACGTCATTTAAGTATTCTAACTGTGATTTACCTATGATTCATGCTGGGGTTTTGTAACCTGTGATTAAAGTGCAACAGATATTATGCCCCTGTGGGGAGGGATTATTTGAGGATTATGCAGAAAAATGAGTGACTTGTGAAATTACGTGAAGTTTCCCATTTCCCTTCTAAATTCTCTCTAATTAACAGGAGAAAAGATGCTCACTGCACTGAAACTGTACTTAGGTGCAGCTGAAGCCTGAAACATGTTTGTACTGTTATCGGCAGGCCCTGCAGCCCCTGGACTTTGCTTAAATAAGGGCAACGGGTCCAAATTCAGCTTCCCAATCAGAAAAAAGTAGAGAGAGTTTTTTCTAGAGAGGATCCTCACTATTCCTTTCTCAGTTAACCAGATTTGTTATATACTTGTTTTTTTTTATTCCTACAGGTCAAAAACTTCTACTCGTATGAAAATGAACCTGGTTTTACTCAAAATATAAAGAGAGGTCTGGCTAGCCTTTTCCAGCTACAGCTGCACTCGGGTGCTGCCCGTGAGGTATGGTGCTATATCTGGCAGGATAATCATCATCAGAGAAACAGGCAGAGCCCCGTCTGCTCTGAAAGGCAGAACCTCTGGCTCCCGCTGACTTCAGCAGGCACGGACCGTGACAGAAATCAGCCCTTTGATCGCATTTGAGGTTGGGGACGTAAGGACAGTCTTCTGAACATTTGGTGACACAAGTCAAGTTGCTGCAATGAACGTAAAGAATTGGTGAAATCCCTTTGATTTAAAATGCTTTTATCAATTTAGCAGAATTTGGTAATAAACCAACCTAAATGAGGTCACTACAAAAGACGTTATACTGATGTTTAAAGTTGGTTGATTCCTAAACTCAATTCAACGGATTAGGCCATTTTAAATCAAACAGAGGATCCGCACAAAGTTAGCAACGGTTTAGCCGCACCCATTTAATCTGCATTACATTGTTAAATTTATACATCTGTCCACATAAGCATAGCTGGAATTTAACTCAAATTTGTAAGTACAGTGCTAGCTGCCAGGCGTTTCCTAAATTTTTTGTTTACACAAACATTGTCACTTTCCTTCATAGGCATCTAAAGAAAAGTACCCCTGCCTATCCAAAGCAGGTAGTTAGAAACACTGATACCTTCAAAACTGGTAAATAAACCCAAGCGGTGCAGCATCTCAGGTACAGGATTCCAACACTGGAGAAAATGGTTCATCTTTGGAAGGTGTTCTGGGATCCCAAAGATAAGTTCAAGAAATTGTCCTAATCTAACTCTTTTTTCCAAGGTGGACATATCTGGGAAATGCAATACTACTTACAACGTGCGGCAAGATCAAGTGACTAAAATAAAAGCTCTGGACTCCTGTGAAATAGAAAAACAAGGATTTACCACCCACAACCAGGTATGATTTCTTTAACAAAATAAAATCTGTTCTCCCTCTTTAAAATATAGTCTTAGTAGCTATTTCTCATTTTCTCAAAAGTCCTTTCTTGCATTACAGAAAGCAAATTCGACATGTACATTTTGTAGTATTACTAGTACAAATTTCATATGTAGTACCCATGGGGAGAACAGGGAATGGATTCTCCTCTTGTGTAAACCACCTTGCCTCAGCAGACACTGAGTACAGCACACCGATTCACATAATTTTTGGATCTTATCCATAACATATTTGAGTTTCTATGCAGATTTACAGCACTCTTGTCCTGGCTGTACTGAAGTTTTAATCAATGCGAGACTTCTTTTTTCTTTGGAGGAAAATACTAGATACAGGCACAGTCATAGTGACAACAGTAACCTTCTTCCCAGCTGTTAAATCACAACATTTAATGTACCAAATAAATGCCAGGCAAGATGCTGACTCCTGAATGGAGCCCGGTCAGGCTTGCCAGGAAGGTCACAGCCTTCCCGAACACACAGGTGTAATATAGGAGTTGTGCCATAGAAGTAACTGAAGCCCTACTGAAGCCTTAATGGTCCTCCACTACTAGTAAATGCCTAGTAAAAAAGCAGTTACTACGGAGTGCAGGCTGGACACGTGCTGAAGGCACTGGGATGCTCCGCATCAGAAGCTGACCTTTCCCAGCTCAGAGAAGTACAAAGGTAGCACACGCTCTGTTAATAAACTGCCTTAACGCTGCGACTGAATTCCTGATTTTCACGCTTGCCACAAAGACTTCATCTTCTTTACAAATAGATCAAACAAGGCGGCTGACTTTGCTTCCCGGGTGCGAATATGACAATCTTATTTACAAGACATTTCCCTGGAAAAGCTTCTTATCTTATTTAAAGTGTATTTTTAACTAAATGTAGTACCAGGCATTTTCTCAGTTGCAGCCTGCTCCTTAACTTCCTCCCCTCCTCCCCCTTTTTTTTCTCCTGGTAGGTACTGAATTTGAAACACATGGTGCAGAAGTGAGTGGCTTCTTGTTGCAGAAGGAATTCTTGCAAACCTGGTTTATAGACTCAGCCTGAGATGTTGTCAACCCACATGCACCTTCCTCATTTGGCTCTATTTCATTATGAGTTCTGCCCTGATTTGGAACTGTGAGCTCTTTTCCTATTCTGTTGTTTATTGACCAGCCCTTTTTTCTGCTTTATTTTTTAATTATTTTCAGATTTTAGATGTCAGTACAAAAGCCACATCTGCCACAATTTATGTGCTGGAAGACAGTTTCATTAAATCCATTAAGGCAGAAGAAAATTTTGTTTTGCTTCTGAATTCCCGACGAAAAACAGGTGCCAAAATAGTTTCAAAGTAAGTTGGGCAATTTGACTGTCATTGATGGTAGCAGGACTAGTGGTTCAAGTCAGGTTATATGTGTATGTCTTATAGCATCAAGAACTAAGGGTGTAAACTCTCCAGGTAAGGATTTAGGTCTCTTTTGTATCCATATGATACCTACTCCAACCTTGATTAAGAGCTCTACTGTACTGCAAATAATCAATAATGGCATTCATAAGAAATTAAATGAAAACAGCTAGAATCGGCCAAAACATTTTAAGCAACACATTACTTCTGTAGGTGTTCTGTTTCTGTGTCCTCTCATTTCTCACGAAATAGTTCCTATGGATCTCCATTTCTAGCATGTGAAAGTTCAGAAGTACAGTACTGCTGCACAGAAAGGAAACAACAGTGAAACCTAGATCTGTGTTAGACTCCAGACTCCAAAAGACTGAAAGTTTGGAGATACTCATACAAGATAAATGATTCAGGCGTCTTCTCAGTATTATGACATTTAAAAAATGTACATGCAAAGTCTCACTTTCCAGACCTTCTTACGAACAAATATATGGAACATTTCAGAATGTATATGGTTACTGAAGGCTGTTTACCGGGTGCTATAAATCCATATTTTAGAAAGTCTATTATTTAGATATTTTATGCCACATACCTCTAGCAGTAATTCTGGTGGTATCAGGTACTTCTGTTACCTTAAAAAAGCCATTGATTTGCCATGTTCAGAACATTTTAAAATAAGACTTCAATAAGTCTGTATTGTATATTTTTGGTCTTTGGAGGGTTTTTTTTTTTGTCTCCTGTTGCCATGATTTCTGCATTTCTGCTCTAACTAGTTGAGCTCTAACGATGTCTTCCCTGTATGGATACACAGGCAGAGACTGGAACTGAAGTCAGTACAAGCTGGCCCTGGACTGATCGCTGGGAAGCAAGTCACCAGTGTTATCAAGACCTTGGACTCCAGTTACATTGCCATGCCACTAGTAGCAGAGCCAGTCAAATCCGAATGCAAAAAGTGTCCTTCAGTAAGTAAACACATGCACGTTGGACGTCGGGTTGGTTAGCTGAGCAGAGCAAGTGTGAAAGAAGTTTCTGTCCAAGCAGCCCAGTAGGAGAGATCTAACGTATCAACATAAAATACAGCCGGAGTGGGGAGCATGGATGCGACGCAATGGTGCTCCACCGCGCAAGGGTATTTTAAGATCTCCCTCTAAAAGTACCAACCTTTTTGCTGTCTTTCAAAGATCAAGTGCAGTATTTCTCAAGACCACTAGAAAATACAACACCCTTTTGTTTTATCTCATCTTTGCCAACCTTGAGTTAGCAGGAGCTTATTTCCTCAGGGTAATGGAGTGGGAAATGACTTTTAAGATGGTTGGCCAGTGTTTATAAACAATTCTGTCACGGAGTTGCTGAACTGCTCCTAGAAATTAAAGGTAGTTAGACATTCCTTAGGCAGGCTAAACATTTACTGGCAATACATCTAGCCTCTTCTTACTGCCTTAGACATTCCTTAGGCAGGCTAAACATTTGTGGTAATACATCTAGCCTCTTCTTACTGCATGACCCTGAAGGAAGTCTTTTATTTAAAAGACTTTATAGGTATTTTATAAGTATAAAATGGGGCTTTAGTATTCTTGGCAAGTCCAATACTGTTCTCATTTTTCCCCTGGAAAAAAAAAATTACCTTGTTTTTTTATATTTAAGACATCTAAAGACTACTAAGAGCTTGGTACTGTATATGCGTCATCTTTTGTTTTATTGATACTATTCATCATAAACTAATATAAATCACTAGCTACAGTGATTGTTAGCAAACAGTTTTAATGCTATTACCATTGTGGAATGAATTTAGCAGTGAATGGGAACATTCATTTAAAAATTATTATTCTCTGTCATTTTTTTATAAGCAAAATAAGGCTTCTATTCAACACACATAATTTTAATCCTCCAGAGATACTCCTTATGAGCACCAATACCTTACTATATTGGAACTTGTGCTAGTTATTTGGAAGTGGCATTGCACTGTAATAATCAATCTTGTCTAATGCTTCTGAGCCGCAGAGAAAATAAAAAAATATTGGGGAAAATGAAATAGAAATGATGCTGCGTGCGTGGTGGAGCAGTTCTGAGCAGGGAACATCAAGGGATCTTAAAGAGAGCAGGGACAGGTGCTTTTTCCCTGACTCTGCCCACCGGGGTTTGTGCTGACCAGTTTGTCACTTGGAACAGAGTTTGTCGTAATAGTTATAAAGAAAATTTCCAGACCAAGATAACAGAGGGTATAATTCCAGAGCACTGCCTGGGGACTGAGCTATGTCATTATAAACCTAACGGCACGATGAGAATGAAGTCCTGCTTTCTCACTGTATTTTACAGTAACTGCTATGAAAAGATGGGGTCTATAAACAGAACACTGTATCCAAAGCAGCAACATAACATTTGGTACTTATATATCATAGTATACATTAATGCCATGCTGACATGGTATGCCCTACAGTTACACGTTTTCAAAACCTTTTTAAAATCATAACAGGTCTTATCTCTATGAATTTGGTAAAATAAACATTACTATTCCCACTTCATAGATGACAGCACTAGCTTCTGTGAGGTTATGGCCAACATTTACATTTAAATTTAGGCCTAGATTTCTGTGTTTAGACATCATAAAGCATGCTCTTTTCAGAAGGTCTCGTAGGTCTTACATTTTTTTTATGCTCATGGCTCCTACAGGAACGGATGCTTGCCCCTTCTGAAGTTGAAGTGGGTTTGTTCTGTCTTGTGCAGCCAGCCTTGGGAGGTTGGTAAAGCAGCAGCCAGGCACTGACATTCAAAACCAACTCCTGCTCAGTTTAGAACCTCTTGGTTTGGCTTGAATTTTCCTAGAGTGCCCACAAGATCTCTGGTTGATCTCTCTGTCAGAGAGACAGAGATTTGTTTCCAAGCTTGGCTGAGCTGCCACGTGGAAATGTGTGCATCTGTGCCTGAATCCTTGGGGTATTCAATCCAAACCGCCTGACACTCGCATCAGGAGAACGAGGCCCCTCGCAAAAGTCAATTGTGAATGCTGTTTTTTAAAGTCATGGTCACTGCAGGAGACAGCACCTGCTCCTTGTAGCAGTTGAATGGTTAGACCACCCTCCCCAGAGAGGAAGACTTGGTCTCCACTCTCTTTTGCTTGAGATGGCTCCAGCTCGCATCTCCCACCTTGCTCGTCTCTAGGGTATAAACTAAGCTGACTAAGAGCAGCCCACACAGCTGGGCTCTGCACAGGAGTAAATACAGGATCAACGAAGTTAAGAGATTTTTTGCCAGGCTATGGTGCAACTTCAACAGAGGGAATAGAAAGTGCCCCATAGGTTTATCCAATTTCAGCTTATAATAGCCACCCTGACCTTGGTGCTAAGCACTAATCACCCGTTGAGGTTAACAGACCCATCTGTGCCTCAGAACACCAGCTCCTCCCAGCTGGTCATTAATCCTCAGGAAATATCCGATGTCTCAATCATTGTTGCCTAATTATTGTTTGTTACAGTTGATGGAAGCTGCACTCTGTACTGCTGAATGATACTTCTATTTGCCAGCAGGTTCAAGTGTTATTGCCTAATACAAAACCCATGAAGAGGGGAAGTATTTTAGTAAAGGTCAAATGGGTGCTAGTGTTATTTCCCACTCAGGAAAACTGCAGTAAACACTGCTGCAAAGAACAGCTGAGTTTCACCAAGGAATGTTCTCAATCATTTGAGATAACAGAGGCAAAGGCAAGAGAGAGAGGAAAGGTCAAAATAACTGCACTATCATTTGAGATAACAGAGGCAAAGGCAAGTGAGAGAGGAAAGGTCAAAATAACTGCACCGGTTTCTTAAGGGAGTGTATCTGGAAGGACAGATATAGGTGTTTTGGTACCATGTTGGCTTATTCAGGTCAAAAATGTGATGTGTGGAATAAACACAGCAACAACACATGAAGAAGCCAAGACCTGTTCTAATACCATCTTACCCATCATTTTGTACAGTAACCACAGTAATCCCTCCCCATCTTATGCAGGTTTATGAATAAGGAATGGGAATTACTTATGGGACATTTCCTCCTGTTCCACACTAACTGCTCACAAAATTACCACCTTCTAAGAAAATATGATTATTTTCTGAATTGAAGATTGTGCATCTCCCACTTTAAAAAAAATTACTTAGGAGGAAATGGGAACAGAAGGCAAACACTGTATTCACCAGAAAGCACAGTAAATTTGCAAGAGAAGGGAATTAATCTTATTCTAGTTTCAGTACAGATAACCATGTTTTGTCCCAAAATAGATTGTCTTTAAGGCAATGTACATTATCGGGAAAATACTAAAGTGTTGGAAGAGAGACAGCTATAGAAAGGTTTCAAAGATATTTGTGCTGGGATATCATAAATTAAATAATACCTAGCTAAAGCATCAGCAATCTATTGGATTTCAGCTAATTTGAGCAATAGCTGGCCCACATATGTGCATTTAGTAAATCTGATCTTGAAAAGTGAAACCACAATTTGAGAGAGTTGACATAATGTGAATTATTTTGCAGCTTTCTGAACACTGGCAGAGCATCAGAGAACATATGTATCCTGAAAAACTCTCCAAAACTGAAGCGGCAAGAAGTTTTTTGTCCTTCATTCAGAACATCAGAAAAGCTACCAAAGAGGAGATACTGCAGATTATTAGAAGTGAAAACAAAGAACTTCTGTAAGTCATCATGAACAAGCTTGCAAAAGGTTTAAGTTACTTAAAACTGCAGAAGGGCAAATTGCATGCAGGTTCAGTTCTACCGGTGATGTCCTAGGAATGCAAAACCAGTATTCAGCACTGTCTACAGAAAATGGATTTTTTTTAAAGCTCTGTTTGTTCTTGTAGTATAATGTATTTGCAGCACACTGTTCAGCCACCAAGACTGTATCTACAATGCAAGGCAAAAACGCTTTGTGGCTTACCCAAAGGTTCTCATCCCGATGACTTGTTCTGAAACACTCTGTAACTTATTCTTGACTTGCCCATTTGTTTCCTTCAAATGGAAATACAGCAAAGAATGGGATGGTTCATGCCTGGATATTGTCCTAATATTAGAGGTTTGGTGTGAACAGCATGCACACCTAGACTTGGGAGTTGGAAAGCACTTCTGAGTCCCACCATACAGTCAGGGTCTTTCAAACAAATTACAGCAGTTGTTAACAATAGAGATAAACCTGAGAGTAACTCAGGTAGCCTAGAAGCCTGTTCTCCAGTTGCCATTGCATATGTAGAAATAAACCCCCTTTTTCCGTTTACATCCTTGTCCTGTAAACTTTAAGACACTCTGGATAGTTCTGGGTTTTTAATACTTTTTTGGTCCCATATTTCCATAAATTCAAATATTATTATCCATAGGTATGAATAATTTCTGGAGTTCATCTACCATTTTGAGGCAGAAGAATTCAGGGACACAGTTTTTTCTAAAAAGAGTAAAAAATTCTGTCTCTTACCTGCAATGAAGAGATCTTTCAGCACATGAACTTCTTTCTCTCTGTATGCCGCAAAGTCTTTTCAGTATTTTGTAGCTCATTACAATGATATGTTCATTTCCACTTCTCTCTAGCCCACAGGTAGTAGATGCTGTAACCTTTGCTCAGACCCCAGCATCGCTGGAGACCATGCTGGAGTTTCTTGACTTTAAGGATGCAAGCACTTCCACCCTGCAGGAGCGATTCCTGTATGCCTGTGGATTTGCTTCTCACCCTAGTGAAATGCTCCTGAAATCTTTAACTGTAAGTCAAAGGACAAAACAAACACAACAGAGTTAATACTCTTTAGCCTCATCCCTGTCAAAAGGGAAGGGAAGAAGAAACAACTGTTGCTGTTTCCAATTTCCCTTTCTTTATCCCTTCCAGGGTTTCCTTTAAGTGTGCCAGTAGCATATAGCCTGGAAAAAACAAAAATTCGTAGGTCCAGACTGGAAGTCTATTTACTTTGTAAAATGTTATCAATATCTGTTACCTGGAAAACAAACATAATTCTGAGTGTTAGCAAAACAATTTGAGGATTGTTTGATTGTTGCCTTATCAAAGTCGTGTAACTATTTAATACTTTTTTTTTTTTTTTTAAACATAGCTTCAAAATGAATCTACTATTTGAGACACTGAATGTAACTCAAGGGGGAAATGGCAGTTAGTTATTATATGTAATGATAGAGCAGTGCTCTGCTTAGCCTGAGGATGCTTAGCATCACTGCCTTTGCATTGCACTAATGTTCACAGAAAATGAGGGAGGCTATTCACCCCCCTACAGACTGTGGTTCATCAGATTTAGACGGAGAGACTAACAGCATTGCTTTTGCATAACAGGCTAAGTTCAAGGGTGATATTGCAAATGAAGAAATCAGAGAAACTCTTGTCATTGTCATGGGAGCACTCATCAGAAAGCTATGTGACAGAGAAGGCTGCAAGCTTCCAGTGAGTATCTGCTGTTCACTGCTGGCCAAATTCTGGTCTGCAACACACATGAATGATCCCTGCTGATGTTACTGGGAGAGCATGAGAGACACGGGAAGCATATTTCCCTGTTTTAAAATAAGCCCATACACTCCTATGTTTGATAGAGAGAGGTTGTTTTGTTTTGATTTTTTAACAATGACATCTACTTTGTCAGCTTTAGGCTTTATTCTGGTCTCTTCCCATTTCTGTGGATTTGTCCCTCTTTGCCCTCATTTGACAGAGCTTTTTCTCACTGCCTAGTCTGTCAGCAGAAGCAGTACTTGTGCTCCCTTGTCAAAAAGCTTTGCATGTCCTCAGAGAAACACTGGCAAACTCGGGATCTAGTTAATATTTGCAGTCACCTTCAGCTCTGTGAAGAAAATTCATTGGTTCAAGTACTCAACTCTGCCCCAAACATGCATAGAACAACCCAGGAGGAAGGCTATCACCTTGACCATGGACTGAGCAGATGCTTGTGATAGAGGATGATCAGACAAGGCACTGCTGCAGTGCTGCCTGCTGAAAAGACACAGAGCACCTGAATGGCCTTTAGGAATCCCTTTTTCCATCCCTTATTAATTGCCAAGCACTAAAGAACAAGACTCTTACCTTTTTTTTAGTGGGGACATGTTGGCCCCACAAGTAAGACCTGTGAAGTCCCTGAATCAGGGCAGGAGCAGCCAGCAAATGATAAATCTATGAACCAGGTGTCACTGTGGCTATAGCCACTTTGGTCATGCTTGAAGGAAGCCATCAACATACAGTTTACAAATGACACCTTTGCTAACCCTGTGCAATGATGCTTTGAAACAAAAACATGCTAGAACCCAGCCCTGCCCCTCCTGTTTCTGCGAGGGAAAAGGGCAGGTTTATGATCACCATTTAAACATGCTGTTGATTTTCTGTAGGCTGTTGTGGAAGCCAAAAGGCTGATTCTAAATAGACTGGAGAAAGCTAAGAAAGATGACAATGTGAGGATGTACCTGCTGGCACTGAAGAACGCACTCGTTCCCGAAGCAATTCCACTGCTCCTGAAGTACGCTGAGTCAGAAGAAGGGCCCATCAGCAATCTTGCTGCCACTGCCTTACAGAGATATGATCCTTCTTTTCTCACCAAAGAGGTAAGAAAATATACTGCCCAAGAAAAGAAGTGCAAGAGACTGTATTAAATATAAAGTATAAATTAACAGAGTTCATTTTCAGTCCTGCTCTTTTTAAAGATGCCCCACGTATGTTTTTTTTACCTCCAGGAAATTATTAGATACATTTCAGTTCCAGCCAGAAAACTCTATTTTTCTTGCCAAATCCCAGCTCCCAGTCTGCCGGTGCTAGTCAGCCTTTGGCTCCAGAGTCACACACAGCCATGGAAGGTAGCAGGCAGTCTACAGGGAAAACTGGGCTCCCTCCCCAAGGGCACTGCCTTCTCGGTGATGTCCAGGAGACGTTAGGAACACTTGGGCACCTGCATAACCCCTCTCCTTTCTTGTGCTTTCACATAGCCAGGGAGGATGCATGAAGTAAGAGAAGGGTAAAACAGCTGCATCTTACCTTGCAGCCTCCAAGAGTAAGAGAAGACACACGGAAGAGCAGAACATGAGGTCCTGCCTCTGCTGCATTACCCTGCATCCTATTTCACACCTACTGCTGGCGGCCGTGACTGCGGCTGTCGGGGTGCTGCTCTGCAATGGACGTGCCGGAGGCTGTTCCGTCAGTGGGGCTACGTGGCTCTGCGTGGACTTACCTGTGACAAAGATGTGTCACAACTTTTGCAGGGACATGAGGCCACCGCAGGCACCGTCTAGAAAATTAAAATCACAAGAATCTTGGGGGTTTTTAAAGTAGATATTCCCTCAGCAGTCGAGGAAATCTCTCTCTTGATCTTACCACTGCCACAGTCCTTTGATCTTAGTGCTCCTACTTATTTACAGCCCCGCTGTGCAAATCAGTGTGGAAGGCTGTATTTGGACTGTGGCTGAGAGAACATAGCAGATGCCCCACTTGCCCATGTGGTCACTGTGCTATACATGTCTCATACATTCCAAAAGGACCATGAAAAACAGTGCTGAAAACATATCCTTATGTTTTAGCCTTAGCTATGGAGCTAGCTTAAGCTGATATTATAAACAAGATTCCAATCTGTACTTTGCCCAGTCATCTGTGTGAGCACTGACTGAAGAACCTGTTTCCCGACCAGGTGAAGGAAACAATGAACAGGATATACCACCAGAATCGTAAAGTCCACGAAAAGACAGTGCGAACCACTGCAGCTGCTATCATCTTAAACAGTAACCCATCCTACATGGAAGTGAAAAACATCCTGCTCTCCATTGGTGAACTGCCTCTGGAAATGAACAAGTACATGCTCTCCATGATCCAAGATATACTTCACTTTGAAATGCCTTCAAGGTACATTAAGTTCAGTATAAATAAATACAGCTCATCTTTACTTCTTTGCAGAAACCCAAAGAACACACAGGTTCTCATGACTTACTACTGTAAAATTTAAGGAGAGTATGAAAGGACGTCTGATTTTTGTGTCACTTTTAAGTATTGATATTTCAGAATAAATCTCTGCATTTCAATGACATTCATTTAATAGCTCTTCACATTTTCAGAGGTACAAATAAGAATTAGGCATCTAACTTGCATTACTGTAAGAAATGTCATCTGTTGGTCTTAATTCTCTTACTGAGGCCCTTGCTTTTATATCTTAAGAACCAGTGAACGAGAAAAATTTTAAACATCACAGCACTAGAATGGAAATAATCAAAATAGCTCTTCTTCTCAACACCATTAATTTTCAAGCAAGACCTTTGCTTGCCTTTATACCTCTGACTGCAGGGAGTAGCTGAAATTGGAAAAGAGACTCTGGGTCAGGGCAGATTTTTAGTGGGAAAATGTGAGAGTTTTGAAGACCCTCTTTCCTATTGGGAAATTCACACTCTCTCAAATTTGGTATTTCTGTGGAACAGTAATACATTTGGTACCATAACATTTTTGTGTCTCTGTGGTTTTGTTTGTTTTGAAATACCACAGCAAAACAGTTCGGCAAGTTCTGAAGGATATGCGGGCTCATAACTATGATCGCTTCTCCAAGACAGGCTCTTCCTCTGCCTACTCCGGCTACATTACACGTATGTAACCATGAAACTGCCTTTTAACCCTGTTTGTATTCCCAAACATTTGATTAATCCACTAGTTGAGTCACAGGTACCTTCTTTCTTTTTTAATTAAGGTGGTCCTGACGTATCATCCACGTACAGCCTTGACATCCTCTATTCAGGCTCTGGCATTTTAAGGAGAAGTAACATGAACATCCATATTTTCAATAGAAATGCTGAACTTCATGCTAGCCAGGTAACTGCCACACTGTGCATAAAAACTAAGCCAGTGTGTGGTCCTCTTCTTACAGCTTCTAAATCAATTCAGCGAATGCTTAAGACCATAAGGTTTGCTGCACTGGGCAGAGAACAAGCCAGTAACAAGAAATAAAGGAACTCACAACAGCCAGTGAGGCACATGTTTGCCCTAACCAAAAAGACAGGTCTTTTGTTCTGTATCGTATATCAAGTTTTGCCTTTGGTTAAAGCCTATACTGTTTATCTGGTGCAATCAGTAAAAGCTTTGCGAGTTTGTAAAATCAAGTCCTGCCTTTTGGGTGTAACAGAATGGAAATACAAGGAGTAGATCAAATGTACGAATCAAAGAGATTTAAATGAGATGCCTCTGTTTTGGACTTTTCTTAATGTTGGCAAGTACCTTCAATATTATAATCCTCCTAAATTTCTACAAGGCAAAAATTGTACAGTGGAACATCTTCAGGTTTTGCTCCCAACTGTCTGTGGAAAATAGTCATATGAATGATGAAAATTTGTTTGAAAGAAAAGTAGGCACGGGATTGTGATCTGCATGTGGGCAAAATCTGCCTGCATCTAAAGGGAAAAAACACGCCATGAGGTTATTTTATTTTCCATTTTTCTAGCTGCTCTACCTAGTTCCCTTAAGTCTTAACCTCATGCTTTTTAATCTACAACTACATAAATTAGAGTTAGGTTCTCAGACATTACAAGAATGTGTAGGGTTGTTAACAGCCTAGGTCAGGCAGAGTTTTTTCATTGACTGTGTATTACTGTTGCTTCTTAGGTGGTGATTGAAGCTCAGGGTCTGGAGTCCATAATAGCTGCAACTCCTGATGAAGGCGAGGAAAACCTGGACTCCTTTGCTGGCATGTCAGCCATTCTGTTCGATGTCCAACTCAGGCCAGTTACATTTTTCCAAGGGTATGGTGATTTAATGTCCAAAATGTTCTCAGCAACTGGAGATCCCATTAACGTGGTGAAAGGACTTCTCCTCCTGACAGATTACTCACAGGTACTAATAGCACACTGTTGGCTTCTTTTTCTGTCTCTTAAGCACAGATGCTCCCTCCCCCACACCGTTATTGCAGGACATCTTATTTTCTTTCTTTTCAATGCTGATAAACCCGATCAATGTTACACAGGCTTCTCTTACTATGAGAGCAATAGAAAAGTTACAGGTATTAAAACCCAGAATGAAATCACATGAAAAGCAGTGTAGAACAAAGGTGAGAACACGTATCATTCTAGAAATAACAAAGTAACACTGAATAAAAGCAAATCCAACTGAGTTTCCTGTAGAAAACTCATATTGCTGTCAGCTGTGGCATCCCCTCCCACATTTTCTTGTAATACAGTATTGTCCCATGTGACCAGCTAAGTTTTCCTCTTCACAAGTTGTCCAGAGACTTTACGTCCAATTAGACAAGAACTGTCAGGTACTGAATGATTGAATGAGTCACTGGTACTCAAACTTTCCCAGATAACTAACCTTCAAAGAACGATGCTAAGAGCTCCAAATTTCAAATGCTTATTGCTAGGCAAAATGAGGAATTAAAATGAGGATTACACAGTTTTTATGCAACTGTCACCCCAAATGATCTGTTAATTTTGTACTAAAATACAGACTCATACACAAATATAGCCTGCTACATAATGCATTATTGGAGGACTAAAAATCTAGACGTCTCTCTGAAAGTGCAGGGCCAGCCTTTGGTTTGATATTTTTGTTCTTCCCAAGCAGGGATCTCCTTAGAACATGTGGATTTAACAGCAGCACTCAGCTCATGAAACATCTGCAGGCTCAAACTTTACTTTCTACTTTTCCCCTTTAATTCTTGGCAAAAGAAAATGCCAAAAGCAGATGATGAGAAAATCCACTCTGATCAAAATTACAGAGAAACACCCCCTGCACATGACAGCTGTCCCCGTCCTGAACCCAGCTCAGCCCCTTTGTAACGGTATTAGAAGTCTAGAGGGCTTCCCATGTAGTGCACAAATTGGCTAACTAAAGCTCATTCCAACAATGCTTTACAGTTCACACGCAGATTATGGGCAAAAACGTTACCATGACCTATTTAACAAACAGATGCAGAGGTGAGAAAGGGAATCGTGTCCAGTTCTGAGCGTACGAGCATGGTGTTTACAGAACTAAATATTTCCAAATGCTGGGCATGCACCAAGCTCCATACATACCCTGGCTGAATCAGCTGGCCAGGCACCCCAAGAGCTTGGCCAGCCAGCAGATTCTCCACTCCTCGTCTTTGGAGAACCTCACAGAAGTCTGGGGCACACCAGGGCTGTGTGCCATTTTTAACAGTACTAGGATGTAAGATTTTCAGCCAGTCACTGACTCTCTGGAAGGCTGGGCAGCAGTGTGATGAGATGGGATCCCACCCTGCTTTCTCTCTTGGGTTGCCACCAAAGAGCTGCCTAAGCTCCAAAAGTGTGTGTTCACAACCAAAAACGTACTCGTTCTTACCTCTACACCCCACAAAGGCAAAAAAAAACGTTTAAAGCACTGTTGAATACAGCTTCAGGCTGAGCTGTGCTTTAAACACAGCACATCTTTCCAAGAATGGTTTTACAGCTACATTCCAGGCCAACAGCAACATCAACACGGTTTGGGCACTATCCACATAACCCAGTTCAGCTTCATTAGAAATGCTTTCACCTGTCAAGTTCTTGAACTGTGATTACAACTGTACCAGAAAACACCATCAGAATGGATGTGTGAATGGTGCAACACTGGAACTGAGGAAAAACAGGGCAAGAGAGGCATAATTAATCTAGCTTCTTGATAGTTAAGTACTACCTCCACTTCCCCTGGCCAGCACGGACAGGCCTTGCCCAGAACATAAGCCCCTTTACAAATTCATTTACAAAGCCCCATACAAATCCAAACGTGGATTTATCTTCCTTCAGAGAAGAAAGCCAGGCATGGGAAGCAGTGCCCATTCTATGATACCAAACCCCAGTGTGCCACAGCTGGCCGCAGTGTGATTTCAGAACAGGCAAAAACCAAACGTAAGCTACAGACAGCACAGTTGAGATCCAACATCAAAAGGATGGCTTGGAAGCCAAAACTGGGACTTCAAAACGGGGCAATTGAATTGTCAGAAAAGAACTTGTGCAATATTTGGGTTGCAATTTTTGCATTGGTGCAGCCTCATTTTGATTTTTAAATATTGGAAAAGTTCTGCTTCCCTATTGCTGTTTATAAGGATCATTGTGCACAGAAAGACCAAAAATGAGTTGTATTCAAAATGCTGTCAATTCTGCCAAATAACTCCCCCCCGGAAAATAGTTTACTTTTGTTAACTTTGCAACTGCAGTAATCACAACAGGCACATTTTGGAGAGGTGATCTCCAAGTTAATAATATTGCTTCTAAAGTTTACGCTCCCACCCACCATCTGTAACATCTTTTCTCCACAAACTGAAGTCAGAGTGTATTTTACAGCCATTGCCAGTTCTCACAGTGTTGTCTGAGGGCTAAGAACCACCGTCCAGAAGTTATAATTCCCTCTCTAAAATGAGCAGCTCTCATAAAACTGTTTTTGAGACTCCTAAGTCACCTGCATTAAAGTTCAGTAGTGTTAATATTTCTCCTAGGCAACACACCTGCCAGAAGCACAGAGAAATTAAATCCTGTATTAATAGGTCAGGGAAACCATTTGAAAGCCAGAGCCCAGTGGATGATAGCCAGTTCCCAAAGAAGTGCCTGTTTCAGCCGTCTCTGCCTTGCATTACAGTAGCACTGTCAGTGCAGTACATAAGAAAACTTCTTTTTTATTGAAACATAGCACGTTTGAGCATTTTAAACAGTAACAAACTACCGATTCTGATCTTTCAGATCACATTTTCCACTGCAAATGACACACAAAGCTTAAAATAGGAAGGGAAAGGAAAATACTGCTCCTGAGGAGGCTGGGTCCCTGTGATTTACACCTCCCATCAGCCTGGACTGGATTTGGACATGAGATGAAGGACAGGACTGAGCTCTAAATAAGGAAATAGATGAGCTAGTAAAACACAAGACAAGTGCTCCTTAGCTTCTCCGCTGGTTTCAGTGACAAACCTGACTTAATTCTAGGTAGCCTTTAAAGCCTTAAACCATGCAGAGGTTGCAAACCAAGCCTACTCTAATATTATTAGGTGCAATTTGACAATGCATCTAAAAATATCTGCTCCTCTGGTTATGTGTACATGTCTGCCAGAATGTATACTGTTACCTCCTCGCTCATTACCAGCTACCCACCAATTCAGTCCCCATTAAAAGCAAAGTGAAATAAAGTAAAACAAGCTTTATCTCCACACCTATACAGACCGACAAGGAAAGTATTCCTTGCCCCATTGCAGTCAGCAGAAAACCGCCCTTTGGCTTCAGAAAGGCCACAATTCCAACCCATGATTTTTCACTTGGGTGAAAATAAGAAATCAGAGCACAATATGACCACACTTGCTGAGGGCGGGCTGGATTTACAAGCCACAGCCAGCCCACTACACTCTTACATTAAATCTCAAGCCCACTTCAGCAGCAACTGACTGCCAAGTTGGTTCTGCCAGGGGATTGTTTCAGAGATTGCTTATTTATCCTAAAAGGTGAAGTAACCATACTCAGCCACCATAATTATCCAAGTCCTCGAATACGGCAGGAGAACCTTAATGCTCTGAATAAAAACCTCCCCAAATGTTGCTCCTTGCTACAGGGATTAGGAAGCCAGACTGTCTCTGCTTGCTGCTTTCTTAAATCTTGGGAGAGCATTAGCTGGAACCACTGGGCTACCGAATGGCTAAGAAGAGAAGAGAGATTTTAGAGTGCCTGGACATCAAAAAGGGGAAGGAAATTGGGTATCCACACGTCCTACAAATGCCTGCAGCGTGGCTAGTGCTGAGAATACCACAGGCACAGAAACCCGGGCGGAGGGAGAAAACCAGCTGGGAGAGAGGAGGAAGTGTCCTGTACCTGAGGGACATGATCAAAAGAAACTTTTGCCAAATTAATGTTTTTTTTTAAAACAGTGAATTAATCCACTAGTTCTTAGGGAAGCAGGACAACTGCTTCTAACTCTAAGTGAGTTAGATTGCCAAGCTGAGTGAACCTTAAAATCTTGGCTGTGTGTCAAAACTTAAAAGTAATGGGTTGCCATGACCCTGAGCTATATTATCACTTCCGAAATGGACTCCACGTGATGTGTTTCCAGTCCGGCCGTAGAGGTTTCAAGAAGCCATAAGCACACTTGATGGTTGATGGAAAATGCATTAAATGCCAATTCACAGTGGCAATTAAGGGCAGATTAGTTTATGGGTTTGGCCACCCAGCCACTGAAGACGTAATTCCTGCCGTACGGTGGGTTTGGAGCCACTACACGCTGCACGACTGCTCGCTGCCCTTTGCATCCTACTGCCAGTATGGGGCTGCCTTGGGCTGTGCTGAAGAAGTCGCACTGCACCGCACCATTGCTGGGTTTAATCAGATTAATCTGATTTAGCTGGACTGCCAGCAGAGCCTCCGTGAGGCTTGCGTGGTAGCTCTTGGACACAGAGGCCATGATATTCCTTGCAGTGATACTCCTGCAGAAATTATGCCAGCTGGCCCATAGGGGAGAGGGGAAGGATGCAAGGCACTCGCCTTAGCTTCATCCCCTTTTCTAGGTACATCAGGGGTGTTTTGTTTCATAAAAGCCCTCTGTGCTTTTTGTTCCTGCAAAACGCAGTACAAAAGGGAGGAAGGAAACCACTGAGGTCTGCAGCCGGTAACGGGGGGGTTACCTGTGCTTTCTGACGGCTCTAGGAGATTCAGCTGCAGTGCGGGCCGAGGGCCAGCGCGGAGTTCCTGGGCGGCCGGGCCATCGACATCTCAGGAGGGATGGAGTTCAGCCTGTGGTACAGGGAATCCAAAACCAACGTCAAGAATCGGTGAGATACTCCCGGCACGCGCTACAGCTGTAGAGAGCCCAGCCTCCTGACCCCCGGTAGTCCCAGTGAGAAGTATTTAAATGTAAAAGACCTTGCAGATGAGTTAAAATTAAACAACAGTTATGTGCATGGGAGAACATTTGTACTTCTCTTTTCCTTTTCACCTGGGTAATACCAGTTCCTACTGGTCTCATTTGAATTTATATACCTTTACCTGAAGAATAGGCTCCTTTGAGGGCAGTTTTTATGTACAGATGGTAGGACTGTTGGCAATTTCATTTCCTCTTTCTTAAAGTGTTTTGAATTAATTGTAACGCCTGAATTTATTTGCAGGGTAGCCATGTTTATAGCTGGTAACACTGAGGTGGATTCCTTCTTTGTAAAAACTGGTATGGAAACCACTTTGGAAGTAGAAACGACATTAGACTTCATCTCTACGGTGCAGTTTTCAGAGTACCCATTTTTAGTCTGTATGCAGATGGACAGAGTCGAGTCTCCGTTCAGGTAAGAACTAAGAGCACACAATTTCTGAGGCTTCCTTCCAGCCACCTGCTGAATCTGGAACTTTTGGTGTTCACAGCCACGAGAGATTAACAACAGAGGCCAAATTTCAGCCTAAGACAATCAGGTGCAGCTTTGGTGGTTACACACACCAACCTCTCTACTAACCCATTCTTCCCTGTCCCTCACCCCTGAGATTCAGAAAGGACCTTTTGAAGATCACAGCTTACTCTGAATGTGCACTTTAGTCCAATTTTCTAATTTGGTTTTGCAAGTAAGCTAACTGAAAGTGGGAGGACACCGGTCCCCTCGTGTTTGATCCCTTCCGACGGTGACCTGAAACTCTGCCAGCCGTAGTTCTCTATTACATTGTTGAGAGAGGAAGCGCATAGCCATACACTAGCTGAAACGGAAAGTTGTCGGCATCATCTGCTATTTACCAGCGTCAACAGAAGTACCTGGTGCGTAAAGCTCTTGCAACCATCGTGTTCCATCATATTTTATTAAGGCACCAACTTTCCTCAATGCTAAACAACTGCACAATAAGGTAAAAAAGATGCTTTCCAGTAGCCAAAGAGTAGTAATTGCATTGCCGTGTGAGAAGCTGCGTTTACTGCTCCCTCCTAATCCCTATTTGCCAAGACCTAAGGGTGATAACATTTGCAGAGCCTGTGCCAAATTTCCATTCGGCCTTTTCTGATCTAAAAGATGGTAAGCCTGAGGGGAATTAAAGAACTTGAGGATCTCCAGGAAATCCTAAGAAAACAGTATCTGTTATTCTGCGGATACTAAACCAACTTCTGATTATACCTACACATTGTGGAAGTGTGACCTTGTCCGTATGAAAAGTGTTTATCTCTACAGGCTACAGATTTTGCATAAATTTGCTAATGCCAGACCACCATGTTGTGTCTTTACAGGCGTTATGTGACTAAGTATGAAAGCCTACCGTCTGGCAGACGGTACACTGCAAGGAGAGGGAAAGCAGAACTGTTGGCAGGAAATGAATACCCTCTCCATCAAGAAAACTCCAACATGTGCAGGAAGGTTTTTGCTGCAAAGTCTGATTCCTCCAGCAACTGGTTTTGAAATGAGCACCTGAGCTTTTGCTTTCCTGAATCCACGGCTCCCTCAACGACTTAGGCTTGTACGTACCGTACTAACTTGGAGCTTGATCCTGCACTACTGCAGTTAATGGGAAATTTGACGTTAATTTCAACAGGCCAGGATCAAACTCTCAGTGCGTGCACACTGTTTACATATTAACCTATATTTAAGACTTTTGTAAAAAAAAAAAAAAAGCTAAGGCAAATAAAGACCAATTTGGTAGTATTCCATGCACTCCCTTTAGGGTGGTGCTACTTCTTTATTTTTACTTTTTTGTGCCAAAAGCAAAAACAATCCCTTATTTTTCTTTCTTGGGGAATGTAGAAGTCCATGTTTTTGACATGCAGTAAGAACAATTATGATGTATAAAGAATGATTATTTATGAATATATTTTAAAGTATTTAGGTGTTTTAGGCCTATGACCAATCCTCATTCAAATATTCCAAGTACAATTAACATCTAAATGGGACCATGAATTCCTGCTTACTCAGTATTGCCTGTTTACAAAAAAGCAGGTTTTATTTTACATGATTTTAAAGGATTTTCCCCTTTTTTTTAAGCAGCCAGAACTTGATTATTAATATTATTTATCTTTTGAGTTTTTTTATTAACTGCTATAGTTAAATACAATCGATTAAAAATGTGGGGTAACATTTCCAGAAGTACTTACCGTTGCCTTCATTCTGTTCCCATTGAAATCAATGGTATAATTCCTGTAGTTATCACCAGGAGCACTGTTAAGCCAACACTGGTTGCTCTTCAGGGTTGCCTCCTGACAATTTGTGTCCCTGTGTGTAATCAAGGCAGGTGTATTGCAAAAAATGACCACCCGCTAAGGCAATTCTGAACTATAATGAATGTAAGGGTCCTGAAAGAAGTCCACTTTGAATGCACAGTCTAGCAAAGCCCATGCAGAGACAGAACATTTTCTTCTAGGTAACCGAGGCTCATATTTCAATGCAAAAAAAGTAATCACTACTCATACAAGTCCTCCGATTAAAACGACATACCTTTTTGCTCATTCAAGCAGTGTATTCATAGGAACTGTGTGGAAAAAAAACCAAAACATTTTACATTTACAACAGCATTGCAGATTAAGAAAGAATATACCTTGTCCCAGCTCAGCTAATCTCTGACATGATCCATCTGATTTAATTTTTATAGGACAAGGTGGGTGAATGCTGGTCACAAAAAAGTAAAATAAAAAGCCAGGAACAATTGTTTTTCAAAAAAACATAAACCAGGTAGGAAAAACTCATAGATTGTCATGAACAAAAAATGTATTACAAGAATAATAAAAAAAAATCCAAATTATTTTTTATTGTAAAAGAACAATAGTGCAGAAATCTGCAAAAAATCAAACTATCAATGGGATGAAACAGTCTGCTTGTTGTCTTTCCTGAAAATGCTGACACACTTCTAGGCAAAGCATAAATAAAACAGGCAAAAATACAGTGTGAAAAAATTGTTTTGTTCTCAGTCTTGGTTTTTGTCCGTTACCTTCTGGGTTGGGAAAACCTCTTGTTGGGGAAGGAATGGTGTTGACAAGGGCAAGAGGAACCATTTAATTCACCACCACATAGGAACCGATAATGTAAGCTGGACACCCACTTGTCCCTCCTGGTCAGGAGATGGAGACATCTCCAGAGTGGTGTAGACCCCAAGCAGGAGGCACCGCGTGCTGGAGGTGCCTGCCCAAATCCTCTGCCCGGAGGAGAGGTAAGATCTACGCATTCCTCTTCAATGTCACCACTCACCAGAAATGAGTTAAGGCCAAAGCGATACCACCACTGCTGGCAGTGACACCAGCCTGTAAAATAACACGGCCAGCACTGCCAGCAAGCCTGCTCCCAATCCTCAGCCTTAAATGCCCTCTTTCAGTCCTCTGCTGAAGATTTTACGCAACACCCCATCCCCAGACATTCCTCCTCCCTCAATGAGGGGCAGTTTCTCCTTCCTCCCTTCCAAACCTCCTCTCCTTCTCCCCAAACACACTCCTCCTTTCAGCAAGGCTCCCACAAAGCTGTCTCTTCCCCTCAATATCCACGCTCAAAGTCCGCACCCTCTATTTTGTAGACACCGTTTGATACCCCTGCTGCTGTTTTAGGAACAGAAACTGAAGACAAGCTTTTATGTTGGTTATACTACTTGCTATTTGTGTCATATAAAACAAAAATAAGATCAGAGCTAAGTAGTGACACACCTAGAAAGAGAGAGTCTCCTCCTGCAGTGATCTGACACCCTAAATACAGAAGGTGGACAACGAGTGGCACAAAGAAACAGCTATCATCGCTATTTCACTTGTAGAGAATTGAGACATCAATAGACGACGACCCTAATTCCACATCCTAATTTGCATCAACAGTCTGCCAGGCTCTCCCATGACTTCAAAACCCAAAATCAGAATAAAAAGGTTCTAGATAATGCAATTTGTATCTGTATGATCTGTGCCTGATATCAGCAATCCCACCACAAGGCTTATTCCCTCTCAGATTTATCAAATCTAAGAACCTTCTGGATGTGTGCCAGTAAAATGGGGCCCTTTGGCACATAAAAATAATGTAACATTGGTGTTCACTTTAAAAAAAGCATAACATAAAATATTTTCCAATTACGAAAGATAATCTGGCTATTGCCAAATATCTGGCCAACAAGACCAGGTGTGCTTCTCTTTCAAGTGAAATGCATGGGTCTGTTTAACATAAATACACCAAATCTCCCAGAGACACTCATCTGTGTCTTTTGCTTTTTTAGTTGCTCATCAAGCCCTGGCACAGCTTGTTGAGGAAAATTGTGTACCCATCTGCACTATTCAAACCCGCTCTTTCAGAATGGGACAACCAGCCTGTAAAGGGCAATTTTGGGTCTTCCACAGCTTTAAAAACATCCCTTGAAACTAAATCAAACAGAACCTCCGAGGCCCACGTTGCTCTTTCAGAAGTGATACATGTCCTTGTAGAGACTCCCTGGTATCGCAGCAATACACTTGCTTTCTGAAGCTATCTGACCCCAACAGCTGGACATAATGGGGATTCCAGAAGGGGTTTAGTTCAACAGCTGGGTAATGGAAGGCCACGGCTTCCTTACGTGGGCTCCATAGCTACGGAAACAACAAAACTGACAATCTTCTAAAAATAAGGTGAAATGAATACATTGCTTAAGCCTGCGTTTGAAGTGAAAACACACTTAGGGTTACAACCAAAGTAAACACCATGAGCGTTTGTCTAATCAGTGGGGGTTAGTCACAAATACACAACATACATCTTTAATAATGGGTATTATGCGCAGTTTTAGATAATCGGCAGTGGTAGCAATTAAACGATAACTCATACATGAAGTTGAGAGAAGCAAACAAATGCTCAGTCCTTTCTAACTGGAAGCCACAGAAAGAACAGTGCAATGATAATCCAGCTAAGTCCAAAAAGCAACCCACTTGCGAAAGAGTTTTTTGAAACTTTCCCCTGAAACTTTCAAGGAGTGCTAATTTTTAAAGAGGATTTTTCATATACTCTTCAAAAAATATTCAAATCCCAGGACTCAGTTTCTCACTCCACTTCTAAACGTATTCTGGTGTAGAAAGCACAGGGAAATAGAGAGATCAATGGTTTGGAAGGCAGACCTCCTCATGAGGTTATGAATTAAGCCATCAGTGCAGTACAGGTTAGCAGATAGGGGGACTAAACATCAGAACTTCTGTAACACTTGACCATAAATAACTGCTGGTAAAATGCATTCTTTCCTACCAATAACGGATACCAACCAGAGCTGCAGGGGTGTAAGTCAGCATGATCTCAGAACAGTCTGCCGTCATGCTGACAGCATCTTCCTGTCCCTTTGTCAGTGGGAACAAGATCATAATTTTAATTATTTTACTTTTGATAAAATTAATCGATACTTGGTGAAAGGTGCTAGGGTTAACAGATATGCAACAACTTGTAAAATACTTAGCCCAGATTTCCAATGAATACACGTTACTTACAAAGTCAACTTTGACTTATTGAGAGAGTCTGGTAGAGAATTGGTCTGGCTGCACATGGTAAAAGGAACTGCAGCCCTTCAGTATGAATACATTTCAGGAGTTACAAGCCCATATAATGCATGCTGCAATTGTACCTTAGAACACAAGAGGATTTGTTAAAAATAGCAAAATATACAGAAGTCCTGATTAAGTAAAGTTTGTAATCACATTTTCAACTTAACCTGTGTGCTTTGTCCAGCGGAGGTCAATGGAAAGCGGGGCAGTGGCAGAGCTGGGCTGCCAGGCGCTATTCTGCAGCATCAGCTTTGCATTTGGTAAGTAGGTGATAGGTACCTCAAAAATAAAACAGCTGGATAGTCTAGGGATACGGTTTGGGTTTGGCAAGCAGATTGCATGTTCTCAATAGTGACAATCCAAGATAAAAGCAATTCTAAAATAGGTGCTTTTTCTTTTTTTTAATATATAT